CGGGTCCAGCAAATCTGGCAAGCACATGCGTCCTATAGCGAAAAACCTCTCAAAAAAAAAGAAAAAAAAGAAGTTCTAAGCTTTTCTGCCCTAGATCTGGAATCAAGCACTTCTCCCAGAAGCCCCTAGATTCTTTCAGTAAGTAATAGTGTTGGACCAGCCCATGGCCTGGTAGATCCCACATGGCCAGCCAAGAATTTGGAGTCTCAGACCGAGGCATGAAAAACACATGGGTGTGTGAGGCTACCTACAGCTGCAGGGACCTGTGGCTCATCCCCTCCTCCGCTAGCCTTTGGACTTCAGCTGTGTGTCTTGCAACTTTAAGATGAATTTGCACCCCTCGGGGTCCATCCAGATACTAGTTCAAGCAAACAAACTGGCCTTGCCAGATGCTAAGCTGCCTGTGGCCGCAGGGCATAGGCTGGGACTCGTAGCTCGTCCCCTCGCCCAGTAGCCTTTGGACTTCAGCTTTGTATCTTGGGACTTTCAAAACACATGGATTGGGACCAGCAGTTGGCATAATGTCTGTCTATGTCACTGGACTCTCATGTAGTCAACCGTGGTTCGAGTCCCAGGCCCAGTGGCTTAAACTCACACCGGGTACATGTGTGTGCATGCCTAAGATCCCAAGAGGAGAATGGAGGAGAAGGGATTGCGGTGTGGCCAATTTCTCTCTTTCTGTCTCTCTGTCTCTCTGTCTTTCTGGCGAGCGCATGCACCCTATAGCAAAAACCTTTCCAAAAAAAAAAAAAAAACCGTGAGTGGGTTCTTTCTCTAACTAAGGCTGGGCAGAATGGCTCCCATAAAGAAGGGTGGTAAGAAGAAGAGCTGTTCTGCCATCACCGAGGGGGTGACCCAGTAAAACACCGTCACCATTCACAAGCCCATCCATGGTGTGGGCTTCAGGAAACGTGCCCCTCGGGCACTCAAAGAAATCTGGAAATTTTCCATGAAGGAGATGGGGCTCCAGGTGTGCACATTGATACCAGGCTCAACAAAGCTGGGCCAAAGGAATAAGGAACGTCCCATATCGAATCCATGTGCGGTTGTCCAGAAAACGAAACGAGGATGAAGATTCACCCAACAAGCTCTACGCTCTGGTGACCTATGTACCTGTTACCACTTTCAAAAATCTACAGTCAATGTGGATGAGAACTAACTGCTGGTTATCAAATAAAGTGGCGAAACAAACAAGCAAACCCGTGTGTGTGTGTGTGTGTGTGTGTGTGTGTGTGTGTGAAAGCCCAAAATCCTGACAGGAGGGAGAAATGGAAGAAAAGAGATTGTAGTCATTCCCCATGGACGTGCCTTCTCCTCCCTCTGTCTCTCTATCTCCCCCTGGCAACTGCACAGGCTCTCTGACAAATAAATAGTATTGAGGAATCAAGAATTGGGCACTACGTAAGCTTATTGCTATAGGGATATCACTAAACCTAGGCCCTCTCAGTGAACAGAGCTAAGGAATTGTGCGTACGTATATTAACACACATACGCCTATTTACAATTATCTCTGTCTTTCTGTACCTGTGTGTGTGTATCAAAAGCCATGAGTTCATTCTCTCACCATTGATTCCAATCCACCACAATGTTTATTCCCCTTCCTATATTCATTCTTTTTTTAATTTTACTTATTATTACTATAATCTTAAAAATATGGAACGCTGGGCCAGCAGTTAGCGTAATGGCTAAGTCGCTGGACTCCCATGTAGTCGATTGTGGCTCGAGTCCTGGGCCCGGTGGCTTAAAACTCACGCCAGGCGCGTGTGCGTGCGTGCCTAAGATCCCGAGAGGAGAATGCAGGAGAAGGGATTGCTGTGTGGCCATGCCCCCTGGGGGGTGATTTCTCGCTTTCTGTCTCTCTGGCTCTGTCTGGTGATCGCACGAGCCCTATAGCAAAAAACTCTCAAAAAAATTTAAAAAATGGGATGCTTTATGAATTTGCAGGTCATCCTTGCAAAAGGGCCATGCTAATCTTCTCTGTATCATTCCAATTTTAGTGTATGTGCTGCCGAAGCAAGCACTTCCTGTACTCATGCTTGAACTCGTTTCACTCTGACATCATCTTCACCACTCCCCTGAAACACCTCTAATAAGATCACCACTAATCTCCATGTCTTTATAAGTGACATAGTGTTTAGCTTGACCTCTAGGAAAAATGGTTGATACTATTCTGTCTGTTTCTATTAGTCACAATTATTCAGAAGAACAGGAAAACATATATATATATATATATATATATATATATAGAGAGAGAGAGAGAGAGAGAGAGAGAGAGAGAGAGAGAAATGAGAAGGTATTTAATAGGGGAAATGTCCCTTGCAATTATTGAGTCCAAGGTGTCCCCCAGTAGGCCATCTGCATGAATCAGAAGGGCCAACAGCATGGTTCAGTTCAGTCCAAAGGTCTTGGATCCAGGAGAGCTGATGACGAAACACTCAAACTGAGGTCAAAGGCCTGAAATCCTGGGAACTTGCTAGTACAAGTCCCAGAGTCCATAGGTCAGTGATGGAGAGTTGTGATTCCCAAGAGAAGGAAAAATGAGTATCCAAACTCCAGAAGAGAGAGAGAGAGTAAATTCACCTTTCCTCTGTCTGTTGTTCGATCGGGGCCCCAAGCCTATGAGATCATGCCCTTCTGTACTGGCTGAAAATCTCTTACTCAGTCCACTGATGCAAATGCTCATCCCTTTGAGAAACACCCTCAGGGACAGACACAGAAATAGCACTTAGCAGCCATGTAGGTACCCTCAATACAATCAAGCTAACACCTAAAATTAACTATCATACTCTCCTCTTGAAGTCTATGCTACAATTTATTTTCCTGCTGTCTTACTGGCCACTTTTCAGTCTTCTTTGCAAGTTACTCTTCCTAACCTTGAATACTGATGCTTCCCTGATTTTTCCATTCCTCTTTTCTAGTCCTACTCTCCAGCTTTCTGAATAATCTAAGTATAGCTATTGGCATTGAATTGCCGTCTACGTAAAAACAATTCTAAAATCAAGATCTACAACTTAGATCTTTCCAGTGGCACCAGAATCATATATTTGATTGTCTTTTAGCCAGATTTTACCTGAATGTCTTATATGAACTTTCACTCCACAAAAGCAATTACGGTAGTTTTGTTTTTAACTTTTTGAGAAACTCCCGTACTACTTTTCTTCTTCTTTTTTTTTTTTTTTAAGAATTACATATTTTGTTTATTATTGGGACCAGCAGATGGCATAATGGTTACGGCGCTGGACTCCCTCATAGTTGACCATGGTTCGAGTCCTGGACTCAGTGGCTTAAAACTTGCACCAGGCATGTGTGCATGTGCCCAAAAATCCAAGAGGAGACTGGAGGAGAAAGGATTGTGGTGTGCCCATCCCCACTGGGGAGTTGATTTCTCACTTTCTGTCTTTCTCTAGCTCTCTGGCAAGCACAAATGCCCTACAGAAAAAAATTTTTTCAAAATAAAAAAAAAGAGAGAGAAACTATTTTATTTGTTATTATTTTAATTTACTAGAGAGAGAGGGAAAGTGAGAGAGCAAGCTGCCAGGTCTGGGGTTTAAACTGCAGTTGGCCATGTAAGAGTCAGTTCCTAAACCACCATGCCACCTAAAGACTCCCCATACTATTTTTCATAATGTTTATACTAATCTACGTCCACAACACTGTGCAAAGGTTCCATTTCTCTCTACAACCTCACCAATACTTTATTGTCTTTTTTTTAGTTTAGTTTAGTTTTTTCTTCCATAGAGAGAAAGACAAAGAGAAAAAAAGGAGAGACAGACAGACAACAGTCCCCAACAGAATCTTTAGACCACAGTCTGCTCCCCAGCTTCAGTAAGCTCCAGATCATGGGCACGTGCATTCCCAGCATATTCAAGAAGGTCTCTGGCAAGAACCTGGAACTCTCCCAGGTTAGTTAGTCAGTCGGTCAGCCTCACTGACAATTGTATTTTAGTAGTGCACACTTCTCTGTTCTCGATTGTCTTTTTGATCATTGCCATTCTAACAGCTGTGAGGTGATAGCTCATTGTGGTTTTAATTACATTTTCCTAATGATAAGTGATGTTGAGCCCCTTTTAACATAGCTTTTGGCAATTTGTATGACTTTTTATTTTTTGGAGAAATTTTTGCTATAGGGCCGGTGCACTCGCCAGAGACAGAAAGCGAGAAATCACACACACACACACACACACGCCCCAGAGGAGATGGCCATGCCACAATTCCTTCTCCTCTGTTTTCTTCTCGGGATTTTGGGCATGCATGCACACGCACCCAGTGTGAATTTCAAGCCACCAGCTCCAGGACTCGAACCGCAGCTGAACATGTGGGAGTCCAGTGCCTTATGACTTCTCGGCCCCTGTATGACTTCCTTTGAGAAATGTCTATTTAGATCTGATATTTTACCCATTTTTAGTGGAGTTGTTTGCTTTTTTTCTCTGAGTCATTTAAATTCATTATATGTTTTGGATATTAATCCTTAAGACGTGTATGATTTGTAAATATTTTACCCTATTCCATAGGTTGTCTCTTCACCCGGTTGATTGTTTTCTTGACTGTACAGCAGGTTTTTCGTTTGCTGTAATTCTACTTGTCTATTTTTGCTTTGGGATTCATATCCAAAAAATTAAATTTCCCAGACCAATGTCATGGAGCTCTCCCCCTATGTTTTCTCTAGTAGTTTTATAGTTTCAGATCTTGTATTTAAGTCTTTGATTCATTTTGAGTTGATTTTTATATATAGTTTGCGATAAGGGTCTAATTTCATTCTTTTTCACGTGGATATCCAATTTCAATAAGTTCAGTTATGACCCATCACCAGGCCTGGTTCACCTCAATAAGTCTATTTTCAAATACTCATTAAATACCACTGTTTCTCTTCAGTTTGTCTAAGACTTCAAAAATAAATGAATTAATCATTTTTCACTTATAATTAATAGTTTTTGTTTAATGATATTTCTAAAATGTGACACATATTGCTAAAAACAATACTAGTACTCATTCTAGTATCTAGTATAAATCATATTTCCCTAAAATTAGTTAGAAATTTGCATTACAAGAATTTGGGGGCCAGCCGGTGGTGTGTCATCCCAGTGGTTGACCCCAGATGGCTGACTGAGTGATCTGAGTCCCAGACCTTGCAGCTTTGAAAACATGTCAGGTGCATGTGTGTGCATACCCAAAATCCCTAAAGGAGAATGGAGAAGAAATTGAAGCATGGCCATCCCCTCAGTAGGTGCTTTCTCTCTTCTCTCTCTCTCTCTCTCTCTCTCTCTCTCTGCAGTAAGTGCACACAACCTATAGCAAAAACTTTTTTAAAAAATAAAGTACCAACTATATGAGTAAAATCATCTTGAATATTACTTTTATTACAGTTACAAGTTGTCCTGAGTTGCCTAAATAATCAGAGATCTGAGCTTCATTCATGATTCCACTATTCAACCCATATATTTCCTCCTCTAGGGACAATCAACTTCCAAGTCCCAGAAATTCTACAGCCTACTAACCCTCATTTCCTTATTGTTGTGCTACTGCTCTGGACCACCATTCTCTTATCTTTGGGTCACTGCAGCTGCCTAGTAACTGGTTTTACTTTCCCTGTCTTGCTTAGTCATACAATTTCTACACTGCAGAGTATTCTTTCTAAAATTTAAATCTGGTTAAATCACTTTTCTGTTAAACTCTCCCTTTTGTGCTTCATAGGATATTATTAAGAAAATGAGGGACCAGCAGTTAACGTAATGGCTATGTCGCTGGACACCCATGTAATCAACCGCAGTTCAAGTCCCAGACCCGGTGGCTTAAACTCACGCCGGACACGTGTGTGTGCGTGCCCAAGATCTCAAGAGGAGAATGGAGGAGAAGGGATTGCAGCATGGCCATCCTCCCGGGGGGGGATTTCTCACTTTCTATCTCTCTGTCTCTCTCTGTCTGTCTGGTGAGCGCACGCGCCCTATAGCAAAAAAAAAGAAAAGAAAAGAAAATGAAAAAGACATAGTTTTGTTTGTTTGTTTTTACTAGAGGGTGAATGTGCTCACTAGAGAGACAGAAATGGAGAGGAGAAAGCACCCCCCCCCATGGAGACTGGTCACTGCAATCTCTTCTACTTCGATCTCTCTTCAAGATTTTGGGCGCACACACATACATAGTCCTGGCATGTTTCTCAAGCCTTGAGGTCCATGACTTGAACCATGCAGTCAGCCATGCGGGATATGGCTGCCTTAACCAACAGGCCACAGAGCTGGCCTTAAAATAGAAATATATTGCAAATCATATATCTAATAAGAGATATATTTAGAAAAATAAAGAAATATTACAACTCAATAATAAAAACACAGATAGGGACCAGGAGATGGTATAATGGTTGTGTCACTGGACTCCCATGTTGATGGCAGTTCAAGTCCCAGACCCAGTGACTTGAAACTCACGTTGGGCATGTGTACATGTGTGCCCAAACTCCTGAGAGGAGAATGGAGGAGAAGGAATTGCAGCATGGCCATCCTCCTAGGGGGTGATTTCTTGTTTCTGTCTCTCTGGCAAATACACTCACTTTACAGCAAAAATCTCTTTAAAATAAATAAATAAGGGGACCAGCAGTTAGCATAACCAGTTAGAGATAGAAAGCGAGAAATCACCCCTCAGGGGGGATGGTCACGCTGCAATCCCTTCTCCTCCATTCTCCTCTCGGGATCTTGGGCACGCACGCACACACGCCCGGCTTGAGTTTAAGCCACCGGGTCCAGGACTCGAACCGTGGTGAGTTACATGGGATTTCAGCAACATAGCCATTACGCTAACTACGGGTCCCTCCTCCAGTTGTTTATCCTATGCTGTGCATGTGGGGACACACCGAGCATGTAAGCCACCAGGGCTGAGAATCAAACCTTGATGGACCAAATGGGACCTAGCTTCTTCTGTACAGTGTTTAACCACTCTACTAAGGATGGACCTACCCACGTGCTTCTGATGTGCTGACATTTGAAGAACTTTGTTGACCCTGGGGCAACTGCCCCTCCCAGGATTAGGCAACTCC